AAAGCAAGAAAAAGAATTTTCAAAAAGAATGGATCCAAAATTCAAAGAATATATTCTCCGAAAACCCAATTTTGTTGAAGTCAATCTTTATGATAACAAAATTGAAGTTTTTAAAATGGAAAAAGGGATGAACCATAATTTGAAAAGAAAATCATTTTGGGTTAATAAAACAAAGATTTTTCCTGTGCAAAAGGAATTCTCACAAGGACCCAAGTTGCTTTGGGTTCCTAAACCTTTTTAAATTTTGCAGGTTATGCGTGTCGAACAGTATGATTCGAAATGGTACATAGATAGCGATTGTTCTCGTCACATGACAGGACGGAAAGAGGAATTAAGAGAGTTTCATACTTTAAGAGATGGCGGAATAGTCAAGTATGGAAACAATGCCACTGGAGAAATAAAGGGATATGGCATGATAACAAATGGAGTGTTCACTATTCGAAAGGTAGCTTATGTTGAGGGCTTGCAACACAATCTAATTATTGTTTCTAAATTGGTTGTAGGTAAAGGTCTTAAAGTGTATTTTGATGAAGAAGTTTCAGAAATCATAGAAAAGAAATCTAAAGTTGTTATTCTGAAATCAAGAAGGAAAGGAGAAATGTATCATCCGAATCTAAATCCAATCAAAGGGAAAGCATCTATATGCTTTCTTACGAAAGCATATTCGGATGCAACTTGAGGCAGAAGAAGCTGAAGCCAAGAATGCGAAACAGATTCTTAACTCATAAATCATTGTTTCCTGCCTGGTCTCTAGAACGTATACAGAAAGAAGCCATTAATGATCCGAATCTATACTGGCTAGAGCCAATATTGTACTTCGACATAAATAATGATGTGGAGTGTTAATTTGATTTTTTCTAATCACTCCAAGGGCATTTCTCTTTAGGTGTTTTGAAAAGATTGAGAAATATGCGATCTCTGATAATGCTGTAAATCGAAAGCTCTTTTCGTTTTACTTGAAATATGCGAAACCGCAGTATGAGACATAGGGCTTAAAAGAATTATGGCTTTGAAGGATGGATTTTCGGTTCAAACTGAAGACTTACTAAATATACAGTTCAAGGGATTCCGAGGCACTAATCATGTTTTGCATGAGTTCACTTTGGCCGATCTGCCATTTATGAACTCGTATGACTGGATATCCTTATTCTACATTGTTGCGAAAGACGAGATGAAATATCAGCCAATTTTTGAACACTTGAAGTGAATAATCAAGTGTTACATCCTAGAAATTGCAAAAATGGATGTTGAGGTCGCATCTGTTCTGAAGAAGATGCCAATTCTGAAACCAGAAGAACAACCAGAAAATATCCAACATTTGAAGACAGGGATCATTCGGAAGAAGCATTGGAGCATTGTTTAGAAAGAGAAAGAAGGTGGAGTGATTCAGAACTGCATGTTCTTTTTGAGAGATAAACACATGTATTCCACAATGGCTCTAAGAACAATCTTATCTTCGGCCGCAGCCAACAAACCCAATTTTGGTGCTGACATCAAATGCATTTCCGATATGATTCGCTGGTACTTTTATGTCATAGGATCACTTTTGAAGATTATGCCAAAGAATTTTCACGCTTGATGAAGATCTCCTTCTAATTTGACACAAATGGGGGAGATTTTTAATTCCAAAATAGTGTTGTGTCAAATGTATAGTTTCAGATTTAATGTTTTATTCAAATTCCGAAATGGGCATGTCCAACATCGGAATTATTGTAATGGTTTGTCTATAAATAGTGTGCATGTAACTTCTAGGGTTACAACTTTTGAAGCAATTACAGAATATATAGAATATTATAGTTTCTATTGATGTGATTAATAATCATTCGGCACCTTTATGATCATTATAGTTTCTTGTCTTTAATTCATCTCATAAATATAGAATATATATATAATTTATTGTTTCTCACAAATTGTGGTGTCATTTTTGCCCATTGTGAAGGAAGTAAAGAAGATGGTATGTGCTATGCTTGGTGAGGAGCCTTTAGATCCAAAATTATCACCCTTGTTGCAAGACTTTGGAGGTATCAAGTTCATACCTTGGCTTGTAGATGCTTAGATCTCTTTATGGCTTGATTTGTTATGTTTTGATCCCTTTTTGCATTGGTTGTTGAGTTAACACGTTTGAAGGACTTATGCTTTTAGATATGAGCTTATTGGGAGTTCCTTAAGCATAAAGGTGCCAACTTTATGGGGTATTCGGTCTCATGCATGCATTAAGTCTCATATTAAGTCCTTTTTAAGCTTAAGAGCTTCGTTTAGCCATGCATGAACGTAAAGTTAGTAACTTTACGTGATAAATCAGTCCAATGAAGTCAGATCTAGGTTGTAGAGTAAAGTCCTTATGGAATAAGAGCTTAATATGGAAATTGGATGTATGTGATGGTATGCTGGGCATACAAGCAGGTACGCTTAGCGTACAAGCCCTAAGGAAAGTACGATGTGTTTAGGAGTTGAGTACGCCCCACGTACTCAGCAGAGTGGGCCCCAGATCTTTTGGTCTTCGGTTTGGGCCATAGTTTGGGCTTAGATGTTAAGGGCCTTGTTGGGCCATCAAAATTTAAGTATTTTGGACTAAGAATGTTGTTGAACCTTGGATTAAGGCCCATGGAAGGCTTTGGGCCCAATTTGGAAAATTAGGCCATGTTTGGGCCTTGTATGATTATTTGGTATTTAGGCCTTTTGGATTATTAGATTTGGGCTTAAGTCTTGGTCAAAACTCGATAAGGGGTAAATTAGTCATTTACCCTAATTTTGGTCTGATGGTTATGGACTGGAATGCAATTGTTAATTGGATGTTATTTGATATTGATAGCTCGGGGATTTGTCGGACCAGCAGCCAGGGAGTTATCGGTATGGTTCAGAAGTGCGAGGTGAGTTTTCTCCTGGTTCTTGTGAGTTGAAGGCACCAATGCCGACTCACTAAATTATGAATGTAGGATGCTAGCTGCCTTTGTGACCCTTGCATGTTTGTATGAGTCTGTGTAATAGAATAGATGTATTTATGATGACCAGCTGGGTCTAGCTGTTATTATTGTGTTATGTGGTTTATATGTGACTGAGAGTGCTGATAGTATCCAGGGTTGTTGATAATCCACCGGGCGTGCTGTTAGCCCACTGGGACGGCTGATAGTCCACAGGGTTGCTGAGAACCCATAGTTGTTTATTTGTGTTGTGCTGTGTGTGGTGTTTGGGGAACTCATTAAGCTTTATGCTTACGGTTTTTAGTTTATGTTTCAAGTGCTTCTATTCTCAAAGGGAAGAGCTCGGGATGATTCCAGAGCACACACCATGTCGTTCCGCATTTTCTTAACTTACTCTGATATGATGTAATGATTGACACATTTATTTTCTTATGATGATGATTATGGAATACCGGTTTTATTAATTTAAAAATGAAATTTTTGGGTCTTGTTTTTGGGATGTTACGCTGTGAAAATCGGTCCTTATAAACACCATTCGAGGAAAATGCACGCGCCCCGACGAGGGGGATGAGATCCACACCGAGCACCGGGTAGAGGATTATATTTTTATGCCCACTGGGGGAAACTTATTGTGACTGGTCAGCGGTGCACATTTCACGAGTCCACTGCGAATTCTTTACAGACCGAGCTTTGCTCCACGAGCTTGCTATCGGCGCGTTCTGAGTGTCGCTGCGTTGGAGCAGTTATTTGAAAAGACAGCACAATCAAATTTGATAGTTAGTATGTTTTCTTAAAATCATAAATTGATTCATATTTTTTGTCTCGATTGTTTCGAAACGCTTCACGAGTAGCAGTAATGTAATACTCCTTCTCCCTTTTTTTTTGGAAAAATCGAGTTGGAATGACAGCAATACAACTTGTGGAATTGGATTTTGCCGAGTGGAGCATGCGACACGTCAACGTTAAATTGCTATTTTTTGTCTTTGAAAAATTAGTGGGCTATTTGTTGTTGTTGTTGTTGAGATAGCTCATAAAAGAACCTATGAAAAGCCCAAGGTAAGTGTTGCAGGCCAATTGTAATAAAGGGATCCCAAACTTGTTATCTAAGAAGCCCATAGATAGATCTGTTATAGCCCATTTGCGAATTTGTTAGCCCAATTCCACTTTTTCTTCTTTTCTTTTTTTATCCGTATATGACTTTAAACAGTTGTATAGGGTACAAGGGTAGCTGTTGGGACCACAATGTTGTCACTGCTATGAGATACGTCCAAAAAAGAAACAGAAAAAAAATATGTTGGAGGTCCTGTGAATTCATGGAGGAGTGAACCCCTTTTTTTTTTTTTTTTTTTTTTTTTTTTATCTTTTTTTGGTTCTTTGATCCTCGCCAAGCTCTTTGCTTGCGACAGAAGATCGGAGCAACAATTTTCCAATGATAGGCGACGATGGATTTTGTTATTCCTTGCTGGAGATCTTCGTCTGCAAGAGGGGATCAGAGCAACGATACAAACGCCGGTGGCGCCATTCTCTTGTGTTACCTGTTGAGGGTGACCGGTGGTGGTGATTGTGGTTGGCGCTGAAGATATCGTGGTAGGAGATCGACTGTCGACATCTGGCTGAGGAAGGAGCGAATTTCGTCATCCGGACATTGGCGGTTTGCGCAGGAGCTGTGTTTTTCAATTAACGTGCGAAGCCTTAACTCCGGTTGGCAGCAAACACTGTTGTAGCTCCGTTTGGAGGCAGGTGCTGGCGGAGATGCTTCGTTAGTGCTGCCATTGTCTAGCCGGAGACTACCGGTGATGGCGTCGGACCACAGTGCTTTTCCGAAGATATGTGATGGATCAGGTGGGCCCATATGGGTCGTATTGAATTTTAGCTGATTAATGTGCGTACTACAAAGTAGTGGACTCAATTATCCTCTTCTTGCCCTCAATTTTTCTTTTTCATTTCCTTGTTTTTGAACTGTGTGGGACCCAGCCCCACATTAATGTTGGGGAAAATACTGGCTAGAGTCAAAAAAAAAAAAAAAAAAAATGGGGTGTAAATTCAAAATTTAGACATGAAAAATTAAAATTCTGAATATAGACATGCGTTCCGCGAAGGACCCTCTGCGGACCTCTGCGGAACCATGAATACTCCGCGGAGAGGGGTAGTTTTGTAATTTCACCCTCATCTTTTTGACAAAATTGACTCCCTCGTCTTTGGTCCCCCCCTGGTCCCCCGATTCCGCTTTGGCCAAAACCCTTCCTCCACATCGACTGTGTATATCGACGATTCCGGCGACGACTTAAAATCCGGCGACAACGACATCAAACGACGTCATTTTCCGGCGATTCGAGTACATACGACCTAAAATCCGGCACCGATGGACGGTAATTTCCCCGATATTTTAGCCGATGGATTCGGCTCTCGGGTATTTCTCACATTCCCCTCTTTTGATTAATGTTGTATCTGATTCAATTGTTACAAAAACCCAATTGATTACATGGAAATATATATACAGATTTAGATTTGGGATGTTAGGATTCACAGGATTCGATTTTGGGAAGATCCATTCCGCGGAGAGATACGTCATTCCACAAAGGATCCTCCGCGGAGTGATGTATTCCATCCGCAAAATGATCTAAGTGACCAAAATTGTGTCTCCGCAGAGGTGTAGGCCACTCCATAGAGGGTTCTTCGCGGAATGACCTCTAGCCTCCGCGGAATGACTTGAAAATGCTTTTTCCAAAAAAAAAAAAATTATGCCCTTTTATATCCCTTTATATATGAGGTATTTAGTTATATATAAAAAGTATGTTGCTATTTATTTCATAAACCGAATTAGAAAAGTAATTTTGAAACCTTGTTTTTTATTTTCAATTACTCACGTTTTATATGAAATTAAATGTTATGTTTTGTAGCACGATGATCTCAATCAAAAAGCGGATTTAACTTTAAAAGGCGTGGTGGGTACTATCATTAAAGACTATTTTCCGCTCCTAACACAATCACAACGACTATTATTCAAAGCTTCGCCGTTTGGAATATACTTAGGAATGCATATCCCATATGGTGATCCCTTACTTGTGCGTTTGATGATGTTGCACGAAGTAAGGTCTCAACAAGTATTTGAAATGGGGAGGTTTCTTTTTGATATAGAGGGGATGCAGTTGGATTTTGGTGAAACTGAATATATTCTCATTTGTGGTTTAAAAGTTGTTCCTTATGTGGACTTACTCCATGACGAAAAAGGCCGGTCAGATTCAAATATTCATGCTCGGTTGTTCCCAGACATTTCTGATGCACGTTTGTGGCTGAAAGATTTAGAAGACTACATTATGTCTCCGAATTATTTGTCACTTCAGGATGAAGATGATGTAATGCTTATCCAACTTGTTTTTATGTTGAATGGTCTCTACGGACGGGACGTTAAAACGGGCATTCCCTCGGCAGTATACAAGCTTGATGATAATATCGATGATTGGAACAGGTATTGCATTTAAAGATTGTGTATAAATACAATAATAATAATTATAAAAAATAAATTGAAAATTGCAGGTTTGCATGGTGTACATATTTCTGGACATATACTTCGCGGTTGGTGCGTGGAATGTTTAAGAAAATAGAAGAATTTTGACTATTCAAGCAGGCCAATCCCGAATCCAAGAAAGTACACAAGTATACCGTTCCCGGTTTTATGCTTCCGTTTAAGGTTAGTTTCTAATGCATTTAAATAGTTATCATAGTTTTGTATTTTTATACGATAAAAACATTGAACTTCGGTTTGTAGTATATAATACCGTTGTATTTTGATTTTTATACTATAATAGCATGATACTTACACTTTTTTTCCATAGATATGGATTTTGGAGACGTTCCCCGAGGCAACCCAGTTTTATATACACACGTCGACAGAATTGCCACGGATGAGGTTGTGGAGAAGTAAAACACCGTTAACTTGGGTTCAATGTCGTCGAATAAACAACGTGTATGTGGTATGCTTTTTAATATTAACGATTATATATATTTACAAATTCCAATGTTTTTCATGTTAAACTAACAATCTGATTTTTGCAGCCAAACAACCAACCAATTTCTGTCGTGGCAAACCCGACGGAGCTGATGTTGCCGTTTTATGTTCGCTACGTGAACTGGACTCTTAGCCATCAAGAGTCTCCGCCACGGCAACATACTCCGGTCGGAAATAGTACAGACTCTCCCCCACCGCAACATAGTCCGGTCCAAAATAGTCCACCTGTTGTTGCCTCGCCTCCTCGAAGAAAGAAGTATAAGTCGGAAACATCTTCTACTGAATCTGGCACAAATGCTTCTTCCTCGCAACATCCTGAAATAGAAAGAACTTATATGCCAAGAGACACATCAACAAGGTTGGTAAAGAAGAAGAAGACGAGCACAAAGGCATTAGTGAAGTGTCTACTAGGCGTTGTGGCTGACTTATCTTCTAAAGTAGATTGTGTATTATAGAAAAAAGATGAGCCGAACACAGGGTTTGGAGAGGAGGAGGAGGAGGAGATGATAAATGAAGAGGAAGAAGAAACATATTACCACGGTACACAGTTGAACTATGATGATATAGGTAGTCATGGTTTAGAGGGGGAAGTTGGGCATACACCTACGCATGTCGAGCCGTCACTAGACGTGGGTGAACATCACACAAAAATAGTGACTCCTATTATTAGGCCGCAACGAAAGAGGGGTGTTCCTTGGTATCAGCGGACTCCGTTGACAGTGGTACAAAACTCATATTTTAAATTTGGTATATTTATAAAATATTACATTATTGATAATTATTTGACATGTTAATTATTTAGATGCAATCCACACCAAAAGTGAAGAAAATCACCAAAACAAGGAAAAAAAGTAGTGGAGAGTCCTGAAAAAGCAAATAAAGACATTTTGAATGAATAGAGTAATGATGTTTCAAATCATCTCTTGTTGGACAGTGTTCATGCTGCTAGTACGTTGAGTTTTTGGAAAGAATGGAGTATGATCTCTTCCAAATTCAACACTAAACATAGGCTGCATATACTCCCACTGGATGTGGAGTTTTAGTCGAGGTTACTTGCAGTTACTGACTCTGGGTGGTTACTTTCTTCGGTAACATTCGGTAAATTTAAATTTTATCTACTTTTTTAGACGATAATTTATATAAATAATTGTAACATTTTTATCTTAAAATGTACCACATATTGCAATATAGAGTGCCTTGCTCATGGAAAGACGGCCGGTCAACGCAAGGTGGACGATATATCCTCAAGAAATCAATTTGCAACCCGAAAAATCATTTTTTTAGGAATGTAGCAAATGGTGTTGGAGGCCGTCCTAAATAAAAGTATGTGGATATGGTTAGTTAAGTTTAATAATTATTTATTTATATATTAAATATTACTGAATTTACGACTATTTAGTTTATTTTTTGTTTTGTAGGTTCTATTCCCCATAAATGTTATTGCTACCCATTGGTTTATGGCAGTGCTACATTCAGATACCTGGAAAGTAGATATTTATGATTCAACACGATCTATGAATTTCTTCTCAAAGTACTTTACTGGTGGAGAATTCAAAAGTTTTGGAGATAGTATTATCTCAGAGTTAGATGCCATTGAGTACTGAAACGATTTCCCCGTTGGACACAAAGACAAAGCAAGTGTGGAGTTTATTGATATTGTAGACGCGCCACAACAGGAATATACTCTTGATAGAGGGGATTGTGGAGTATCCGTATGCATGTTTATGGAAATGATTGTTTCGGTGGTACCGGTGAAGATTGATAAGGAACCTAGAGATGCGGGATTTCTCTACAGAAATAGGATGACAAATATTAATTGGGATACTATATAACTTGATCCCAGGAACTTTGTATATATATATTAATATGAAATACTTGTTTTTAGTAATTTTGTTTAATACAAATATGTGTTTTTTTTGTTATACATTCAAACAAAATAAACATTACAAATAACATAAAAACATTACAAAAAAAAAATCATAAAAATAAGCATTACGAATAAGATGTACGACTAACAAACATTACATAAAACATTAGAAATACGAAAACAATCGTCTACATGAAAAAAGGCTTATTTTTAACCAGATTCCAAATGTCTGTATACTCGAAATCAGTTCCATCAAACTCGCACGGGTAATATCCGTTCATGTCTTCAAGAAGTTCTTCATCGTCTTCATCAGAGCGTCACATTTTCTCATATAGCATCGATAGAACCATATAACTTTATTCTTTAAATCCATCCATTTACTAACAATATCGGGTTTTAGCCGTTGTTGTCCTTGTCTTACCTCATAGTTGAACAAAGCTATTAGGCGGGACCATTCATCACCTACAAGGCAATTAAGGGTAGCCATTACTGGTAGACCCTCGTAAACGGTAATCCAACATCGTGTTAGGACCAACACCTCTGTTGTCGTCCATGGAAATGTACCATTTGTTGGAGCTGACGCATTGGATGGATTTGTTGCATTCGAAGAAGTTGGTACAGTGGACGCCATTTTGTGAAATGATCCCTATTGTTAATTAAAGATGTGAATTTCATATAGATAGAAGGTTTACTATATATAAAAAGATAGGTTATGCGGACTGACAAGCCAGTTATACGGACTGACAAGTCAGTTATGCAGACTAACAAGTCAGTTATGCAGACTTTCAAGTCAGTTATGCGGACTGTCAACTCAGTTATGAAGACCGTCAACTCAGTTATGCGGACTGACAAGTCAGTTATGCGGACTGACAAGTCAGTTATGCGGACTGTCAAGTCAGTGACGCGGACTGACAAGGTTTACTATATATAAAAAGATAGGTTACACGGACTGACAAATAAGTTACGCGTACTGACAAGTCATTTACGCAGACTGACAAGTCAGTTCTGCGGACTGATTCCTTTTAAATTGGACAAGCATTTTCATTTTTACAAGGTGCCGAAAGTTGTGAAAATGAGTTCAGTCAATCAGGTATTAAGAAAACGTTTCTCCAACCTACCGAATTTTTTCCATAATCTTCAAAGAACCAATCCTAACACCTTCACTTACATTACGAAAGATCAGTACAATCGTTTCAAAATTTGTTTCGTGGCATTGGGATGCGTGGTATGTAATCCCTTATAGTAAATATTTCCTTATCTGAAGTTGTTATATGGCTAATATTCTTATCTTCACTTGCAAATTCATACGTTTCTCACGTCTATGATACCAATCATATTCGTTGGTCAAGTACGTCTAATTGGGATGTACGTAACATCCATGTACATTGCGGTTTCTTTAGATAGAAATCATGAACCCCTTCTCATAGTGTTTGCTTTGGGAACCATAAACTGTGATGATTCATGGTTATGGTTCATGAGGAGGCTTAAAGAATGTATAGGTGACAATACATAAGTTGGTTTCATAAGCCATATGTCCGATTCCATAGACTTTGCAGTTCAAAGAGTCTACCTTGATTCATATCATGGCTATTGTTGTAAAAATATAGCTGAGAAAATACGCGCTTCCACTGGAAGCAATACAGTTGTAGAGCAATTGTTCTGGAAGACTTGTAAAGCGTATAATACGTCTGATTTTTATGCATGTTTTAACAACTTACAACATCAGGTGAATGGGAATGATCTTGATTGGCTTGACAATATTCCCATTGCAAAATGGGCACGGGATTTTTTCCCTAAAGTCCGTTTCAATGTTCAATTCATTGACATTCCCGATTTTGTCAATTAGATAAGAACAAACAGACATGAGTTTCCAATAACAACAATCATGGAAATGGTCCATGACTCGATGCAAGCAGTGTATGTTAAACGTGCTGCATTCAGAGGTAATTATAAGTTATGACATCACTAAAATGGTCAAATTATATATTATTATACATTATGACATCATAATTTTTGTTTTATCATTCAGTTCATTTCACAGGGGATTTTCATGGTATTCTAACCCCTTATGCACTAAAGGTGCTTCATAAAAGATTTATCCACTCCGATGGTTGTAGGATTAGGCATATTGTTGGCGACACATATGAAATGAGTAAGTATTCAACCACCGAAACCGTGCAATTAGACCGTGGTATTTGTAGTTGCGGTAAATGGAAAAAATGTTGTATACCTTGTAAGCATGTTATAGCTTCACTACAAAGTCTTGAAATTATAGAAATCCAGCCAATGGTAAATTTAAAGTTAAGTACCGCGGTGTATCGAAATGGTTTTCAAACTGAGACGGTCAATCCTATTCCAACCCTTATGCATTGGGAAATACCAGTTGAAAGTGTTGTCGTCTTACCTCCACAACAATTCACTTGAACTGTAATGTATGGATCACAACGAATATTAGTTTGTATTCAGTTCTATGTTAACCTTACTTTTGGTCCGTTGGCGTTGTTTAGTTTTTAGTAAATAATGTTTACCTTTTAATAAATAATTGTATTCCCACAATTGTAATGTATGGATGACAACGACTTGACACACAGCTATGCGAACTGACAAACAGGTCTACGGACTGACAAACACCTCTCTGCGGAGTTGAAGGCTCTATATATTGTCATGGATGATCGCTGAATGTTTGGTAAAGAGTTACAAATTATTTTGAAATTTAATATGAGTTCATATTCAAATTTGTATATTTGCTCGTGCAACGAACTTGATTGTTTCTATTGTGATCTAATCAACCCTTTTCTTGCCCCATCACCAAACATAAGAGAGCCGTATATGTCTGATGATACTTTGCAACAATTACAATGGGCTGAAGAACAACAAAGAAAAGATAAAGAGTCATCTCGGGCTCTATCTGAACGTCGTGAACTCATTGCGGCAGAGTGCAAAGAGGTTGATGAAAGGATGCATATTAATAAAAAGAAATCAAAGACCATGAGGAATGAATAAAAAAGACTAAGAAGACTATCAAACTGACTGAAAAATGGCTTGCTGAGAAGGATGCAGAAATGATAGATCTTGGGCGGCAAAAGGACCCTTTTGAAGATAGAATAAGAATTAGGGGCGACTATATAACAATGGAGAAAGAAAAGTATCCATTGCAATTCCCTTAAGTTAATTACTGTTGTACGTTTATTATGTGTTTTTGTTTTGTTCTATGTATTATCTTCGAGTTTTAGTTATTATTCTACTAGTAATGATGCACTAATATGATCATAATATTACCCATAATCTTTAAAGTAACCACACCATTTCAAAGTACACAATCAACATCTTCAAAAACATAAGATAATTAATTATAAATACAACATCAATCATTCAAATCAAGCGTTCAACAATAGTCTTGTCTTTGCGTCCTGCGCGTCTCTTGTGTCACATCCGTCTCTAGCGTCTCGTGAGTCTCTTGTGTCCCTTGTGTCCCTTTCACTTTCCTTTTTGTGTTCCTACCTGATGTCGAGTTAGTTTTTCTAGCCTTTTTTTGCTTCATTGGGACAAATGTCGGACAAGTCACTGCATTATGTGTTGTACTATCAAATTTACTACACCTTCTTACTATAGGTTCCTCACCTTGTGACGGGATATGATTTATGTTTTTCGGCCTACCAGATTGACGTGTATCCATTATTGGGGGTTTAACAACCATCATCTCAGCAGGAATCTCCCAATCAAACGGTTCTGGAATGGGGTAAACCGCCTCCTCATACGTACTTCGGTACTGCATTATGTGTTGTACTATCACATTTACTACACCTTCTTACTATAGGTTCCCCACTCCGTTAGCACTGTTGAACATTGCCCTGTAAAGAACATATATATAATTAACTTATTATTCGACATAATTAAAGTCCAAATTAAATTCATACCTTCATCGATGCGACGCTTGTTACACCATTCATGTGAAAGACGACGAAAGAACTCAAGAAGGGGTACTATAGGCATCTTCCTTTCATCTACAGATAAAGCATTTATGGACTCTGCACTGTTCGAGGTCAGGTAATCGTCACGTTTCGACGGGGAATATGCTCTAATCCATTTAGCATGTGGAATTTAACTTAGATACACCGCTACTTGCGGCCTAGTAGTACTAAATCTATACCACAAATTTCAAAAACATTTCTTTTGTAAGCTCTCACAAGCCTCCAAAACAACACTTTTGTTTTATCATTTTTCCCAAACCTGTGTACTATGTATCCTAGTAGATGAAAAGCACATACGCCATGATGAGCATGTGGGAAAACATTTTCAATACTAACCAGAATTGCATCGGCCCTATCAGTTACAAACGTCAAATCTTGACAATCACCAACTCATTTATACAACTTATCAAGAAACCATGTCCAAGTAAGACCACTCTCTTTTTTGCATATTCCATGCGCAAGGGGCATTATCTTGTTGTTCCCATCCATAGCGACTACATGCAATATGGTTCCCTTAAAATCACCCTTCAAATGGGCACCATCCATAATTATAACTTTACGACAAAAACGTTTGAACGATCGTATCTGCAATATATTAAAATGGAACACATAAACACTATAATTTTTTTACAAATAATTATATATTAAATAACAAGTTTTTTGTATTTACCGTGCTCCCAATGGCATAAAAACAACACTCGAAACAATCTTTAGAATCTGTTTGTATATAGGCCACTGTACCGGGATTATGCCTCTTCAAATTGTTAAAATAAATAGGAAGTTTGAAAAAACATTCTTCAGAGGATCCCAACAATAGTTCCATAGCATATTGTTTTGCACGCCAAGCTTGTTTGTAATTTACATTGATTTCCAGCAAAGCATTCAAATCCCTTGATATTTCATTAGGCCTCCAAACCTTGGAACGAGTTTTTCCCATAATCTCATGCAATATAGTACTGATGACTTTTTTATTTGCGTGCTTATGATTTAGGTGTATCTGTAATGACGAACATGTGTGCACGTTGTTGAAAGTCCTGATTTCAAATTC